CCTAAGTGTGGTGCCCATGTGAACCAGTGAACATTGGCAGCAGCCTGATCCCAGCTACCCCTGCTGTCTAGCCAAGGTTAGATTATGCACTCCTGAACTTTCTACAAGGCCACTTTGCTGCTTTCCAAGGCAATTTTACTTGACCAGCAGTTTTCATAGTAGGTCTTGAGAATTAAGTTGTGTTCGACAGGCTGGAAAAACAGATTCAAGGACTTGGGCAGAGTGTGCCTGCTCTTCCCTTTGGAATTAAAATGCAATTTTACGTGATTAGGTTGATTGGTATTGGCATGTTTAGAAACCTTTAGTCTTGTTGCAGCTGCTGATTCAAATATGAGCATTAGGAATTATTTTTATCACTGTGTTTATTTTTAATTTAGTCACCAATTGATGACCTCCAGTAGAATGTGTGCAGTGTACAGTTGATTTTCTTGATGGTCATTTATCCATAAAGACTGGATGGAAGAGTTTATCCAAAGAGATGTTTTCCTGATGAGCACACTCAGTGGTAGTGGGGGTTATTCAAGCAGTGAAGCGTGCTGGATTTTATGAAGCTTAAAAATAGGAGAGAAAATGGAAGTGCAGCATCTGGAATTACAACTGTGAGCTTCTGACTCGTGTAAGAGCACACACAGAGTGGATGTGTGTAGTTAGTAATGATTATTGACTTGTTCCTCAGAAGTTGGTACTCTTCCCTTTTATGCCCCTGAAATTTTCCATCTAACCATCTTATTTTTAATGCTGATTATTTCCTTGTCATTCTTTCTAGCCAATTAGCAATGCTGATTTCATCGTTCCTGTTGAAATTGATGGAACCATACATCAGGTAAGTGCTGTTTCTTCCTTCAGCATTGTGTCCTGAGTCCCAGAATGTTCTCTTCCTCCATTTGCTGCTTTATAGCCAATATTTTCTCTTGCAAAGCATGGAAGCTGTGTATTCTGGAATGCAGACAGGCATCCCTGTGTGCTCAGGTGGAGTCTCTCTCTCAGGACTTCAATACTCAAGTCTTTGTCTATTTTAAAACATTTTCAAACAGGAAATGATGTAAGGATGGGGTTTCAGATATTGCTGGACCCACAAAAATCTGCTTCAACACTGCATTTTTCATTCCCTCCAACATACATAGGACATAAGCTGGCTTTAATATATGTTGATAGCTCATATGCTAAAGATAATTTGTATTTTATAAAAGTATAAAGGAAGAATAGACATTTATTCCATTTTTGTGGCAATCTATGTTCAATTTCTGTCCCCTTTTATTCCTGTAAGTAATTCAAGTTTCTCTGATAGGAGTTATTATATACTTCAGCATATTTGAAAGATCTGGACAAAATCACGAGGAGACGAATTTCTGTGTATTACTCTTCAAGAATTTCACTTAAGGCTCTAAGAAATGGTTTTGAGTAAATGCAAAACGCCCATAATTAGAAAATCAGTCCCCTCCATGTATCTTGGATTGGTGTCTTTAATCAGTGATCATTTCTGAAGGGTTGAATAAAATAAATTACAGTGCTGTTACTTTCCCTCTTCAGGCAGACATTGAAATTCTTGCTGGAGATGAATTAAACAGGTTAATGTCAAGTTGAGCCTTTCTGATACATGAACTCTGTAAATGGTTTGAAACATTTTCTGTTGGGTGTTACAGTTAACAAACCTTCCCTCCACGTGATTTAACAGAAATTTTAAGTACTTTCAATTCTGAAATGTTGTTTATATATTATCTTTATGGATTATTTCTACTTAAACAAAGAGGTTTGTATATTTTAATCTTGTACTAATTGGTGGGTCATCAAGATAGTTCATAATTTTTTCTGATTTCCTCTGATGGAAGCTCTCCATATATTTGTCACTCTTAAAATGATTACTGAATATCAGTCAGTGGACTGAAACTTGCTTTAAAGTAACAGTTGTTTTGACAGTTTTTGCACTGTGCCTGTTTCATGTAGAAAAAATTAATATCTGGGTTACTTCCACCTGTAATGTTCACCAGAGATGATGCTTACAACATTTAAGTGATGTTTTGGAAATTTGTAATTTTCAGTCCTGATTTGATGGGGGCTTTAGCTGTGTTTGGTGCTGTGGAACAGACAAATTCTCTCTCCTAAAACTTTACAGAATGCTTTTGAAAGTGAATTTTTGAGTGGCTTACAGTTGTGATCACTTAGATTGTCAGGATGACATATTTACATTTGGAAACAAATCCAAATAAAAGGCTTGGGCTTTATAGTCAAACATTTCAAAAGCCTGTTGCTTTTCCATTGCCTGCTGCAAACTCTGAGATTCTTCACCAAAAATGATGCAGTTTTACACTTGGAGATGACTCCATGTGGGGGAAAAGAGAAAACAGTAAAAAAAAACCTCCAAACAAACAAAAACCCACAATTGGGTCCAAAGGGAGTGGATTTATGCATCTCCTTCTCCTTTGACAGAGGTGGTCAGGTGAAATTGGTCTCTGTGCTTTGCTGGAAAGTCCCTGCATGATTTTCCAGGAAATTGCTTCACTCTTTGTATTTCAAGTTCTTAACCTCTAAAACAGGAAAATACCTCGGGCACGTTTGGATGGTAAAAATGAAGGTAATTGTAAGGAATTTGTGATTCTTGAAATAAATGTAATTTGTGTTGCACACAGAACAGGCAAAGCCTGTGTGTGTAATACCTCTGGTGATATTGCTGACATTCAGAAATCTTTTTGGTTTTGTTTTGTTTTGTATTGTGATAAAGGGCAAAAATGGATATTCTGGCTGAATGTGATGTGCATTAACACAGCTTGTAGAGCTCTGACAACCTGTCCCCACTTCAAACCTGTAATTCTGTAGTCACTTGGAGCATAAATGAACTGATCTGAGCAATTTCTGTCATTTATCAGGATTTGTCATCTGTATAATGCGTGTCCATTTTCTTAAGCAGTTTATAAACTCTGAGATTAATCACTGTCATTGAGTAACATTTTCACCTGTGCAAAATATCCCAGGAGATTGGAAATATTGTGGAACCTCACTGTCCATAGTGCATATCCCTGTTTTACCAGTGAGCCTGGTACCTTATCAGGCAGGAGCTTGGCAGATTTTTATTGTCCTTGACCTCTGCCTTAGGCAGAACCCCAGTGGAAACAAACTGAGAAACATCATTTCAGAGGTGCCCATTCCTGTAGAAACTGGGAATTATATGAGTTTCTTCAAATCTCATATAACAAAAATACAAGTTGTGGCAAAAGGAATTGCTGTACTCCTGCAGGAGTTTTGAGACTGACTTATCTAACAAGTCTTTTCATGGTAAATGCTGGTTGGGTCTTGTGGTTTTTTCTTTTTTGCAGTTCAACAGAGGTCATTAAAAAAATGATGTCTTTAGTTTGGGGAATTTGCTTTCCCTTATATAATTTGTAATCCAAAGGTCAGAAAGACTCTTGGGTTTTGTTTTTTTTTTTTTTATAGGGAGGACAATTCATCATCTTAAAAGGTGCTCAGGTAAACAAGCTTCCATAGAGTAAAAACTGGCTTTTCTTAACATCCCTTTTCCCTTACCCATCTGTCTTTCTCCAGCCTAAATTACTTCATCTTTTGAAAGGATCTGTCATTTTATTTTAAGAGGGAAATATATCAAGTGTGAAGGAACCTCCCTTTCTTTCTGCTGTGGGTCTCTGGATGCCTGCAGAGCTCCCATCCTGGGGCAGCTGCAGTTCCAGGGGGAATCCCATGCTTTCACTGGATTACCAGGTTGGAAGGGACCTTCAAGATCATCGAGTCCAACCCAGCCCCAACACCTCAACTCAACCCTGGCACCCAGTGCCACATCCAGGCTTTGTTAAACACACCCAGGGATGGTGATTCCACCTCCCTGGGCAGCCATTCCAGAACTTTATCACCTTTCTGTAAAAAACTTTTTCCCAATATCCAACCTAAATTTCTCTTGGTGCAGCTCGAGGCTGTGTGCTCTGGTTCTGTCAGTTCCTGGAGACAGAGCCCAGCCCCAGCTGAGCACAGCCACCTTTCAGGAGCTGTGGGGAGTGCTGAGGTCACCCCTGAGTCTCCTTTTCTCCAGGCTGAGCACCCCCAGCTCCCTCAGGGGTTCCTCACAGGGTTTGTGTTCCCAGCCCCTCTCCAGCCTCGTTGTCCCCTCTGGACGTGTCCCAAGGTCCTTCCCAAGCTGAGGGGCCAGAGCTGGGCACAGCACATGAGGTGTGCCCTCAGCAGTGCCCAGCACAGGGCAGAATGAGCTCCTGCTCCCGCTCCTGCTGGCCACACCATTCCTGATCCAGGCCAGGAGCCTTTGGCCACCAGGGCACTCTGCTTTGTTTGGGAGTGATGGCCCAGGTACAAAAGGGGTTTCTGCTGCAGGCTCACCCTTCTGGCCACTCCTCTCCTTCCACTCTGGTTCTCTGGCTGAAAGGAGGTCAGAGCTGGTCCTGCTGTGCCAGATGACAAGTGGGAAGTCCAGTGGAGTGTGTTGGAGCTGAGAGGAGGCTCAGTGGGGATGGAAGTGGTGGCTGGAGATGTTCCATCCATTGGGCACCTTGATTTAACTCTGCAGGAACACATCCTCTCCTATGGATTTGGATTTAACTCTGCTCCACTGACCAAGAGCCCCCAGACCACAAACTGCATCAAATACAGTTTAATCTGCAGTGGATGAAGGTTTTTAGGGAATGCTTGTCCTTCATGTTTCATCAAAATTGAATTCCAGGGGCTTTGTGCCTTGCTTGTGTTGTCCAAGAGTAAAGAGGGCAGCTAGGAAGAGTTTGATTTGGTGTTATTTTGAATTTTATTTTTAAATACAATTTGTTTATTGAGTGAAACTAATTTTTAAGTGTTTGTTTGGGGTGAGGGGGGAGTTAATTAATTGCTTATTTTTAATTGTTGAAAACTGAAGGAACATTTGGCATATATACTTTGAACATAATACGTAAATTTTTTTTTTCTTTTTTGCTGATGGGGGGGAAAGGCTGTTTGAATAATAAATTTCCTTCCTGTAAAGCACAGAATTCATGGATTTTCTTGCAGGAGGCTGTGGCCTGGTTCAAGTAATCCAGGATAGGCTGTATCCATTCTAACTCGCCTATTCTTGGTTACTTGCACTGGGACAGGGCCACAACTGTGTGACCCAGGACCACAAGGGACACGTGGGATTTTCTGCTCACTGCTTGGAAGAGACATGGAACAGGAGATTACACGAGCTGGAGTTGTCATGGGCAGTTTTTTTAGTCATTGCTTGCAGATTTCCTCATTGTAAAGCTGGTTTTGAAGGGCAATTCTATGTGTCCTGTTAAATTGGTTGAAAATGAGCTGGGTTTGTCTTTGGGTTTCACAAATACTGAGTCTCTGTAGGTTGAGGCTGCTTTGAGGTACAGAAAATTCATGTGGAAGTATGAAATGCTTGAAAACAATTAAAGATAATTGCTTCTGTTCTGCCATTAGCAGCTGTAAGAATCCTGTGGAAACATGCCTAGTGCCTGATTTGTGCTTAAAATGTTGAGTAGGGTTCATTTTAAATAATAGTAATAAAAAATACTATATTCCTCTAAATTCTTGCTGTGATAAGGAAAAAATTAGTGAGCATACAAAAAAAAAAAAGGATTTTATTTTTTAATGCCCTGAAGGCAGTATATAAATCTCAGAAAAGTGCCAGGAGTCAGTTAGTCTAGAGATTTCAACTGAAGACATCAGGCAGTGGAGGAAAAAGCCAAGCCACAAATAACCGTGCAGCATTGAGATTCAAGTCCAGCCACTAACAAAGTAAAGGGGGAAAAAATTCCAAATGAGAAGGAAGAGGAGAAAAGAGCTGCACTGTCAGCTGAAGAAAGCTTTCTATGTGAAGTAAACCAAAGAGATTTTGTAGCCCAGGCTACCAGTACATTTTGGAGTTGCTTCCAGGCTCTAAGTAGGACTTCTGAAAGAAAACTTCAGCTCTGGAGAATAACTATCCAGAGTATTACATGTTGTTCTGCCAAGGAAAAAAAAAAAAAAAAATAGTTGAAGGAATTGGGGCTTTTTACAGAGGCAAATAATTAAGGGGAAATTTTGGTGAGACTTCATCTTAAGAGATGACATTTATTATTAATTAGGCATTTAACATGAGAAACAAATCTGTTGGCCATATCCCAGCAGGGAAAGATTTAAGGCAAAGCAGCAGGAGAAACTCAAGTAGAGGAGGCTGTGAGTGCTCTGTGTTGGATCAGGAGCCCTGAACTGCAGAAGGGAGACCATCCAGCTAAAAAATGCTGTGTATTCACAGCTAATCCTGAATTAGGGGCAGAATTGGGAGCCCTAAAAACAACCAAAGGAGTGTTTGTTACCAAGGCTGGCCAGTGCAGCCCAGGCTGTGGCTCAGAGCTCTGGGGTTGATTTACTGAGTGCTCCTGATGGAGGAGGTGGCTTGTGTTGCAAGCAGCAAAGTTCAGATCCGTGGCAGGGAGTTTGTAATTACATTCCAAGTGGAAATACTTCACTGACAGGGCAGAGATAGGGATGGAGAGCAAAGAGGAGAATTCTTCTGCTGAGGCTGGAAGCACTGGGTTTTAAAAGGGAAATTAATATTCAATTCCAGCACTTACTCTCCAAGAATGATGTTAAGACTCTGGGGTGCCCCTTTTGTGCCCTCAAAAATAAGTGTAGGAATAAAATGAAGGCTAAAGAATCAGGAACTTAATAATTAACTTGGCTCCTGCTGTCTTTCACATCTGGGAAGTTGGAAACTCAAGATATGCAAAAGCAGAGGGACTGCAGCTGTCTTTAAAAAAATTCAAAGGTGGAATCTGGAGAGGAAATACTACAGCACAACTTTGTGTAGAAATGATGAAATTAAAAATTAATTGCAGTGTTATAGGAGAGCAAATTACTTGGTTTATGCCTGGTGAAATACAGGAAACATTGCTGTAATTATCTGGAAAGAGAGTGGTGGTGAAGTACATCTGTTAACTGTCTTTAATCCATAAAATGTCACAATTATTTGATGTGTTAGGTGCTGCTGTGATTGTTTAAAAAAAAAACTGGGTTATAAATTATCTGTATCAAAGTTTGAATGTAATGTTTATGGGGTCAGAAATAGTTTAGATAAATGTCATAGAAATAACTTAAAAGAGATAAAGACTTCATGGTATGATCTGTATGCTGCGTAAAGGGGAAAATTAACATTTCTGCTTTAGTCATTAAGGTACAGCTCCATCATATGTGTTTTTAAAAAACTTTACTTTCAACTTTAGGTTTTCAATTTCAATTACACAGTTTCTTTTATTTTTCTTTTGCTGAAGGCTTTAATTGTTACACTTGAGTTCAAGCTGCTGTTTCCATATTTTTCTCCTTCAGGCTTTTTCTCTGAGTACCTTGAATTTTTTTTACCTCTGATTAATAGGAAGCTAGTAAAATACATACAATTAATCTAGTTTTACATATCAGAGAATGAAATTCCTGAAATAGCATCAGTCTTGCAATTCTTCCTGAATTCATCTCTATGCCAGACTTCTCCACTTGAAATTTCCAGTATTAGGGATTATTTGCCAAACAAAAGAAGATAAAATGCTGCCAATGTTTTCTCCCAAACTTCTAATCTAACTTCAAACAAGACAGATAAATATTTTTCAAGCAGACTTCCCTCTTCAACTTCCCAGTATATTGTGAGCCGTTTCCAAGCTTTCTGAGCAGCACTTTTCCTTGTTTTGGTATCTTCTGTGAGCACAAAATCATCTTGTGTGCTCTGCAAGGAGAAGCAGGGAGGTTTTAATACTCTGCTAATCAGGTTGTTGTGCTGAAAGGCAGCAGAGCACTGTGAAGGCAGGATGCTGAAGAGGAGAGAAATCCTGGGAATTTGCCATCTTTTGGCAAGGTCCTCTTTAGAAGATGCTGAAGGCTTTGTCAAATTTCAAACACAGCATTTTTAGACATTCTGCGTGGTGCTGGGAAGATTTTTGGTGAAAAAAAAGTTGCCTGTAGAGCTGGAGGGCTGGATCACTCTCCATAGTGAGCTGTGGTACTTAGCACCTGGAATTTCAGAAATGAAAGAATCAGCCAGAGAACAAAAACAGGTCCCTATTGTGCAATTCCTGCTGTCAGAGAGGCTTCATCAGATTTATTCCTCCTGTGGAGCTCCTCAGCTTTCCAGCACCAGAAAGGGCTTGGTGGAGAGATGTGAATCCTCACTTCTTGAGAAGCCCTCTGGTCTCCCTTTGCCTTTAATGAGATGTTTTGAGGAGCACCACTCCTGATGCTGCTCAGTGTTTGCAGTTCCATAATCAGCAGGGGCTTGACAGCCCATGTGTGCTAATCTCTCATTATTGGATCTCTACTTTTATCTTGCATACTTTTTTTTCCCCCAGCATCTCACTTGAACTGCTTCCCTGTTAACTTTTGTTTCAAGTGCTAGGATTTCAGAAGTGGTTTTGGTTTTTTGGGGTTTTTTTCCTTTCCTTGAGCACCATCTGACCTAAATGCTGTTATCATTCCAGGTTTATGTATTGAAACGACCACATGTGGACGAGTTTCTTCAGAGGATGGGAGAGCTCTTTGAATGTGTACTCTTCACAGCCAGTCTAGCCAAGGTTTGTTCCTCCCTTCATCTCCTTAACCCTTATGGTGCTGGTCAGTGGACTTTTGGTTGGGTTTTCTATGGATAATTATTTCCACAGTTGGTACTATCTTAATTTTTCCCCTTCTTTTCTGCTTCTTTGTCTGACAGTGTGTACTTTGTCTGCTAGTGTGTGGGTAAGTGTTTCCATGGTAACACCATCACATATGGGCTTGTCTCATAATGTAGCCTCCATGCATTGCTCATGATGCCAATATGAAAGGCTCACAAGTTACCATGGTTATAGTGAGAAATTAGAACAAATAGCTTGCCAGTGAAGCAGCACATTAAAGCTGGGCATGAAATAAAACACCGAATTAAACCCTGTCTGCACCATCAACCAGTGACTCAGAAACTCACTGGAAATTGGGAACCAAGGTTCTTGCCCTCTTGAGGTGCAATTTCAACCTGGAGTTAGAAAATGAGGCCTTTTTGCAAAGCTTGAAATGTCCCCAGGAGTATTTTGTGCCCTCTGGTCCTGCAGTAGCAGTAGTGGCTCGTAGGTAGTTTTTGTGGTAGATGTTACAGTAGTAGAGTGATCTGGAATTCTTCACTTCCTTCAGTGTATTGTATTTGTGGTGTCTTGTTTGTAAAATGATACTGGTTATTTCTAAATAGTGCTCTAGCATGGCAAGCTTTTGCTCCAGCCTAGTGTAGAGATGGTGGAAGGGGACAGGACCTTGATCCTCTATAAAGCCTTTTTCCCTGCATTCTCTTTACCACATACTGTTCAGTCATGTTGGAAAAATAATAAATACTGCCTCAGTTTCATACTGAAATGATGTGCCTTATTTCATAATCAAAATATGATTGATTTCAACATCAGTTCTTTTGCTTGTTTTAAAATAAAGGAAAATGATAACTCCTGTTGTGCAATAATAAGACATAACTACTATTTTCAACTATGTGGTTAATCATGTTCAAGTTTATTTCGATACTTCTTCTTGGTCAATTTATATAAATTGTTGGATTCTAAGCTGTGCCTCATTTAAAGTATAATCTAATGTATAAAATGAGAATTTCCCTGGTATTGTACATGAGTATTTTTATTAATAACATCTTTGGCTGATCTTTTTTGACCTAATTATGCAATTTGGTAATCTGAAGAGTCTTGCTGACCCGGTTGCTCCAAGGGCATTCATTTGGCAGAGCCATGTCAGGCTCAGATTTGTTCACTGCAGTTTATCTTCAGAGGCACATGGAAACCAACCAGCTGGGGAAAAGCTTCATATTGATTTTCTATTAGCATTGGCTGGTTTTATGGTAATGGTAGGTGAGATCTCTGGATCCATCAACCTCTCAGGTTAACTCTGAGTTGGCCCTGAGAATAAAACCTAATCAATAAATCAAAGAAAACATTTAGAGTGCAAGTTAGCCTTCTCTAGAAAATGATTGTCCTACTTTTGCTTTATCTCTTTATTAATCACTTCAGATTTGCAGGCAATTGAGTTAATTAACAAGGAGCAGGGAAGAAAATGAAGAAAAAGGGTGTTTTACCTGAAATTATTTCGTGTCCCTTCT